GGCGGCTGCCGCAGCGCCGGGGCCAACGCGGAGAGAAGGCAAAATTATTTCCCCTTCCCAGCCGCTAGGTTCCGACTGGCAAGATGGTGCCCACCGCCCCGCGCGCGCTCTTCCTTCTGCTGCTCCTCTTCGCCTGCCCCGAGTCGCGGGCTTCCCAGGTCAGTGTCCCTGGCGTCCCTCCCCTGTCCCGCCCGCAAGAGTGGCAAGGCCGAGGCCAGAGGACCCCAGGTTGTCACATTTGACCGGGATGCTTGGGCCCGGGGCTTGAAGCGATTCTTGGGTTCCGTTTTCCGAGAGAGGCGCGGGGTCCCCGTCTGTCATCGCAGATGCGCCGCGGGCTGGGCGTCTGGGAGGACCCGGGCTGGGCTAGCGGAGCAGTGTGTGCGAAGGCGTCGCTCCTCGGGGACACAGGGCTCCGCGTGAGAATCGCTGGGAAGAGGAAGATTCCTTCGGGATTTATGAGACGTGGGTCTTTCCCGGATCTCAGAGACAGCTCTGGGCCACCCAATTAGGTGAGAGGATGCTCTCGCCTGCAACCTCCAACACTGACTTTCTGGCCGAAATATTCCCACCCCCGCCGCCGTCCCGTCCGTAAACACTCACAGGACTCGCTTGGCTGCTCCAAGCGTTTCCAAGGCAGAGGTGGCTGGGGAAGCTGTTTGGAGCCTGCCAGGCGGTAGACTACACTTTCTCTTGCACACATGTAGGAAGCTTCGTCTTTTCTCTCCTGTCGTTTGAGTCCCACTGCATTTAGTTATTTGAGCAGATGCACTTTTACATTCAGCATTAGGAACTTTTAAAAACTAAGATAAGAATGTAGATAAAAATGCATCTTCAGAAGATGGATCTGGAATGATCAAGGTCAGAGTCAACATCCACCAGAGACTCCTTAACTGCGAGGGGCCTGGTGTGGGAAACGGCCAACCAGCTACCCTGCAATGCCAGTAACAGCAGCCACAGCAGCCCGTGGAGGAAAGCCTGCACAAGCCTCCTGCCGGCCTGGTGTGTGTCAGGCTCCTGGCTAGGCATCTTCCAGGCACTTAATTCTCAGAGCAACCCAGCAAAGCGGGGACCGCTGTCAACTCCCATTTTGCAGACGAGAGAATTGAGGCCCAGGAAGGTTGTGGCTTATTCAAGGTCACATAGCCAGGAAGGAGTGGGGTAAATTCAACCTCTCTTACTGGGCTTCAAGCCTTTCTCCATGCCTGCAATCACTTGTCCATAATTCCTACCCTAGGACTAAATTCCTGGGCCAGGTAGGCCTGCCCATGGCTACGTAAGGTGCAGGAAGGGATTCCAGGAAGGCAGGAGTAGGTTCAGACCATATGATGATGTTGATGTAGCCTAGGGCCACCCAAGAAAGCAGTAGGATTTTGTACCAACCTCACAGATTGCAAAACCAAACCAGACCTCAGCCCCAGAGCCCAACATCCTGTACAGGCAGGAGCATCCCCCAGCTGGCCCCGGTCCAGACTGCCAAGGGGCAAGGTGGACAGGATGTGCAATGAGACCGTCAGGAGCCCAGCTGTGCAGCACCTGACCTCAGCTTCTCCGAACCTCTGGAACAGGGCAAACACCCGCTTCCTAAAGCAACCCAGGAAACGGCACGGTGGAGGTCCTCACATATTTGTAGCTGCTGTGGGGGCAAAGGTACGCTGGCTCAGGCTCTGTCCTGGGAGATCTGGGTCCAGTCCCTGTTTCTTCAAATCCTTTGTCCTCTAAACCTTGCTTTCTTTACCTCCCAAAGTACCTGCCATGTGTGCTTTATGAGGGGAAAGCGAGCAAAAGAGGTTGTCCATAGATGTTCATTTATTTAAATTTTAAAGTTATTTTATTCACAGTCAAAAGTACACGTATACACTAGAGAGAGAGAGAAAACCTCCAAAGGGTCCTCATGCTGCAATCCCCTTTGCCCAAACTTCTAGCTCGGTAGGATCCTGAGCATGCGAGGATGTGCCTGGCATGTTTTCAGAGTGACCTGGAAACCCAAACCCACCGTCGGCCATATGGCTTCCAGCACTGTAGTTCACTTTGCTACCACTGCGCAACCAGGCTGGCCCATAATGTTCATTTAAAAATTCTAGTGAAACCTCTTTTACCCAAAGTCCTGTGTGGTTAGTGATCTCTGCCTCCTCACCCCAGTCCTAGTCCTGGGTGACCTTGGGGTGAATCATTAAGAAAGCTTTGGGCCTCCATGCCTATCTGGATAAACCATACCTGGATCCTTCTGTCTTTTGGGTGTCTCCCTCCCATAGGCCTTCTAGACTTCCCTCTAAGCAGGTCCCCTCCCTGCCTCTGTGTTTTCTATTCAGATCTCCCAAAGGGCTCTGGTAGGACTCACCACCATTGGTAATGACATATCTCAGTAGGTTTCAGGCATATCATCTCTTTCCCACTCCAAGGGTAGGGACTTGCACATAGTAGGAGACCAGAGGAATGGGTGGAGCTGGGGCTGGTCTGAGCAGAGTCCACAACGGTCAGTCTCTGGGCAGACCTGGGCTGTACGTCAGAGCACCCAGGAGCTTCTAGAATCTCATTGAGATTCTGATTCAGTTGACTGAATCTCAGGCAGTAGTATTTGAAATCTTTCTTCTAGTAATTCTAATGGGATGGCGTCTGAGGTCCTGGGGAACTCTGGCTTTCAGAGTTAAAATTTGTGGACTTAAGGGAGGGCTGAGGGCAGGGAATTCATGGTGGACATGGGATTGGACTCACAAGGACCTGGGGTGACTTGGCCTACCCCAAGTTTACCTGCTGTGTGAGTCCCAAGGCTCTGGAAGCAGCACTGAGACCCACCAGCTAATGGGGAGTCAGTAGGTGCTTGGAGCATGCACTCCACAAGATGGGGCGATCAGGTAAGAGGCACCAGGAAGGGACTTCTCAGGCAACGCCAGTAACACAGCAGCCCCAAGGACCTCTAGAGAGGCAGCAGAACACCTTGAGGGACAGCCCACAACCCGGTCTGTTGTAACCCTCCTCTGTTTGCTGGTAAATGTGCTCACTTTGTTGTATTAGGTGACAGCTCAAGGTGACATGGTGGGTGTTGGTGTGTGTGCGCACACATGTCTTTGTGTGTTGGTGTGTGTGTGTGAATGCATGATTGTGTGGAGGGTGCACATGTGGGCACTTACCTGTGGTGTTGTGTATGATTGTGGTGACGGTGCCCGTGGTTGTATTCCATGTGTCTGTGTCTGTGTGTGTGATATCGGGTAGTTTCTAGGCTACTTTCTGCAGGGACTGGAGACAGCCTCACCTCTCCTGCCGTTCTCCATGACTTTACACGGTGTCTCATCAGCACTCTCTCCCGAGTCACATGTAGGTATTTTTGTGACCAGCTAATGAAAAGCAGGTGGTTGTGGGGAAGGAAGAGAGGTTGAGCAGTGTGGGAGTCCCACCAGGGGTTCTCAATACTGCCCACTCTGTGGCCTTCTCATTGTAAGAGAAACAACCTTGCAAGGAGACGAGAACAAACATTTAACTACCGGTCACACCTTTCTCCCTTCCACCACAGTGGTTCTTACTTTTCGAGTAAACAAGGGAGACAGAGAGACAAAGAGAGATAGTACCCCAACAGAGTCTTCATGCCACGATCCACCCCCAGCCTCAGCCAGCCCCAGATCACAGACACAGGCATGCTCAGTGTACTCAGAGATGTCTTCTGACATGAACCTAGAACCTTCCCATGTGGGCCAGCCTCATGGAGTGTTTTGTTTTACTATTCACCATCATTCTGGCCCCTAGATCTTCCTTTTTTTAGTCATCTCCTCCCATTTGATACAGTGCTTTTTATAGTTAAGTAAAAACAAATTCGTTTGGTGTAGATTTCCATAATTTTAGGCATGGAACTAACTATATTCTTTATGTGGCAGCCACCACCACAATCAGGATATAAACAGTAATTTTGTTTTTTCCACAATGTCATATAAATTGAATAAAAAGTACATAGCCTTTGGAATTTGGCTCCTTCTTTTTAAAAAAATTGTGAGTGGGTGCATGCACTCACGAGAGAGAGAGAGAGAAAGAGAGAAAGAGACAGAGAGAGAGAAAGAAAGCACTCCCTGGCTGGGGCATGGTCATGCTGCAATCCCTTCTCCATTTCTCCCTGTTTTTGAGATTTTAGGCATGCACACACAAGTGCCCAGTGTGTTTTTCAAGTCATTATGCCTAGAACTCAAACCATGGACTTGGCCATGTGGGATCCAGCTGTCCTAACCACCAAGCAGCCATCTGGCCCATCTATTTTTTTTTTTTTTTTGATTGCCAGATGGCACATGTGCTTGTGAGAGAAGTGTGGGGGGGAGAAAGCACCCTTAGCAGAGTGTGGTGGTCACACCACAATCCCTTCTCCTCCATTCCTCCATCCTGTTGGGATTGTGGACATACGTGAACACACGCCTATTGTGTGTTTCAAGCCACTGAGGCCAGGAGTTGAACCATGGGCAACCACGTGGGGTCTGGTTTTCTGTACACAGCACTTAACCACCATACCACAGGGTTGGCCCTTCCATATATATATATTTTTCAACATAGCTTTAGGAAAATGTTTTTAACCCATTAGTGCTAGGTTTGTCAAATAACTTTTACCCTGTTTCTATGCTGAACCTTTATGTCAGGCAGCTATAGCCCCATCATCCCCATGTCATAGGTGGAGAGCTGACGTGCCACAAAAGTGGCAACTGAATCCTAATGCTGGGAGCAAGAAAAGAGAGAAGCGAGAAGGGGAATGATGACCCCAGGCCTTCTCTCCTTCTGACTGAATGCGAACAATCCTCCCCGCTGACTTCCTAGAGAAAATCAAGGCCTTTTGCAGAGGCAGGATTTGAGGCCTTGGCCTGAGAATGAATGAGATAAGGTGGAAAAATGAAAATCAAAGCATGTTCCTTCCCCATGCATGTGGCCTGGGAGGTCAGTGTGGATTGGCTGGGCCTGCCTAGAGTCCAGGTTGAGGTGGAGTTTTGGTCACATCAGAGCTCGGCATGAAAGGATACCATGACTGACCAGGCATGTCTGCTGTGGTCACAGCACCAGGAGTTGGCCAACTCTGCAGGGGAGATTGTTCTACAAATATGTAGAAAGCAACAGAAGCATAATAGTCATCGAGATCTCCAATGGGGTAGTTAATCAAACAGTTCATTGTTGCCCACAGTGGCCTAGGCAC